AAGCATCATATGACCCCTTTAAATAAGTTTACATGGCATTGACAAAATATTTACCGGAAGTAAAAGACTGTACATGTGAAATGTCCATATCTGCAAAAAACTTTCTCTTTTAGTTGTACACTGATATATAGATGGGCTTATATTGACTTTTTATCTAATTCATACATGTCTGTTAGTAATATTAATGAAATGTAATATGGGCAGACGTGGACTGAATGCCACAGAAGTCCATTCCTCAGCTGTGCAGCATACAGTACCTTTGGTTTTGAAGGCGAAGTTGCAGTGCTGGCAGACGTAGGGCCGAGCGTCCGTGTGCAGTCGTATGTGTTTGCGCAGCATGCTGGGTTTCTTACAGCGTATTCCACACTCTTCACATACATATCGGCCCCTCCCGCGGCCCCGGACGTACACATACTCTTCACTCGACCTGTAGCTGGAAAACACAACATAACAGCTGAAAGAACGTCACCCTCACTGACAGATAACAGATGAACTACTTGAGCATGAGACTACAGATAACCCAGAAATCTCTTTCTTTTGTGGAACAGAATAGAACTATTTGAAAGAAGTATTGCAGAATTTTGAGAGTGCAGTTTATATGCATAACGGGGTCAAACTCTAAAAATGGTAAAAAAAAAAAAAAATCATAGACGTATCACAATTAGTGCTAGGTACCAAAAGGAAACTTATGGGCCAATCCTAAAAATTCTGGACACTTGGGCTAAAAACCAAAACACAAGTTTTGAACAACAGACTCGTTTAGAATAACCGAATGAGTCATATTTATGTAGGTCAAAGGTCATGTGAGATCAATGTGCTACACCTGGTGACAAACACAAGATATTTGAATTAAATTAGATTTAAGTTGTATTGCAGAGCGGAGGAAAAATAAAATCCACTGATTTTTGCATCCACTGATGCACAATTTTTGTTCCCTCGACAAGCTATCACATGGCTTCAGAAGACTTGGAATATAATGCACAAGCCGTATGGACTACTTTTGCTATTTTTGGTTCTTATTATAAATAACAGTACGCTGGAAACCTTCTAAAAAAAGAATATAAGCATACTTTTAAAAAGAGTTATACTTATTATGGAAATAAAACAATATGCTTAAGTGCATACTGAATGTAAGGTTTTCAGAAACTTAATTGTCTGTTAATTGTGATTCAGTTAAACCACATTACAGTTCAAATTAGATGAATTTTAGAGTGACCCACTTAAGTAGGACTTAAGCACATCTTTATACGTACAGTGTGTATAGTTACAGTGTACTGCTGAATGTACTGATAAGCGTTTATGATAAACTAAAATATGTAATTTCTTGTGAAACTTGTATGTCATGTCTTTGGATATATTTGTAAATACAGATTTGTAATGATGAAGTTGCACTTTAGTGCACTATATTCTACGATTGATTAACTTTAAATGTAATGTCAACACATTGTTAAAACTATACTCAGGTATGTTAATCAACACAAAATAAGTGTACGCCTGTAAAGCCTGACAAAAGATTATTAAAACATTGCTTTAACATGTACTTCAAAATAAAGTTTTTAATTTGACATTATTGTAAAGAGTGCTTTTAAAAATGTATTTAAGTGCGTTAAGAAACATAGCCATGAAAGTGCAATTAAATGCCTTTTGATTCATGTCACCTGCAAGTTTGAGGTTTTCTTGTTTTTTTTTAAACTGCACTTTTGTAAGATCTGAAGTACACTACAAGGGCACATTAAATACAATTTAAGCACACTTATTTTCGTATCTCATGTATTTCAAGAGATTACATGTGGAGTTGTTGATTAAATAATAACAGATACTGAATTTTGAAACTGCATATTAGCGTACCACTATTTGTACCATCTCTTTCTATGGCAGGAATAGTAAGAGCAGTATGCTAGCATGCAATTTCGAAATCAGCACATATTTTCAACGTGAACTAACCTTTTAACTGGCTGCAACCAAAAGGTGAATCATATTAGACTGGCGATATTTATTTAATGTTAAACAAACAGAATGTAACAGAAAACAGCACATGTAGGTTGACATTGAAACTGTAAGTTCTCAACATCACCTCTAGGTTAATTAAAATAGCAGCGGAGCATAGCCTCTGGCCTGGAATACGTGCATAAAGAAGCCTATACACTGATCTCACTGGTCTGTGTGGGAGATCTGATCTCCAATCTATGGCACCTGCATGCTACGCTTTTAAAGGTGCTCTTAAACAGCTTGATATGCTTGGCACAGTCCCTCTTTCAGACACCAGGCGTGCATATATATCCATACACACCCCCTCCGCCTACCCACACACACACACACACACACACACATGGGTAGTCTGGCTGGGTATCCACCCTGTTTGTGTCCAGAAAGTCCCAAAACGGGGCCTCCACTTGACCTCAAACAGAGCACCATTTATAATGTCAAGAACTAGGGCCCCCCTCCCTTCCGACCCCCTTCACCACCACCCCGGCTCAAACCTGGGGTTCTTGCAATGGCGCTCTGTGCCCAGAGTCCAGCCGTCTGTGCCAATCCAAACAGCTGAGAGGGGGGGAGGGGGGACCCGACCAGATGCTCATAGCCAATAACATTAGCACAAATCAAGAACTGTGCGCCAGCTTTCTTAAAAATAACAGTCATAATAGAGTTCAATTCTGGGGAGGCTTAGTGTTTTAGTTTTAGACTGTGCAGCTATTTAAAATGTGGTTTCCCAAAGTAACAGACTACTGTTTTTCACACAGTAAAAATTGTATTAATGTGATCCAATAACAAATGTCATTCCAAACATACACTACCGTACAATACGTTTGGGATAAGTAAGATTTGTAATGTTTTTTTAAAGTCCCTTATGCTCATCAAGGCTGCATTTATCTGATCAAAAATACAGTAAAAATAGTAATATTGTAACGGTTTTCTATTTTAATATACTTTAGTTCTTTTTCAGAAATAATTCTAATATGCTGAATTTATTGTCAGTGTTGGAAACATACAGTATGTATGCATATATGTATTTATTTGTTTGTTTGGAATCTGTGACACTTTTTCCAGGATTCTTTGATAAATAAATAAAAAAGTTAAAAATAACAGCATTTACTTTTTTTAGTAACAATATACACTATCATTCAAAAGTTTGGGGTCAGCACATTTTTTTTATTTTTTATTAATACTTTTATTCAGCAAGGATATGTTAAATTGCTAAAAAGTGGAACCTACAAAAGATTTGCATGTGTCCCTCCTTTAATGTAAGTATGTATGATGTTTTGCCCAATTTATCATCTGCCAGGTCTAATAAAAATCATGATTTGATTTTAAAATTAGATTTTTAAGTAACATTCATGTCTGTAGCAGGGTGTGGGTTAAGTTATGCACTTAAGTTCAATACTTAATGTCTAAAGAAAGAGCTTCGGTCTTGTCACAGAATCTTAAAAACTATTTATATATATAAATCATGAGTGTTTTAAATAGAGGTAAATTGTGCAGAAACCACATAATTAACCTCCACCTGAAACGCTTACTAAATCGGTTTTCTAAACCTTCACGCAAAATCACTCGCCTCATAAATCAACTTAAACCTCAGTGCTTCCATTTTAAGATTCACAAACCACCTTAACCACCTTCAGCCTTTTCATTCTGAAGGGACAGAAATGTGTCCTAAACTCTGTATTAACGTTCCCCAGAGACCATACTTGCATGGTGGAAGAGCACAGCCAAATTATGAGTCAATTTGATGGCTGCTGTGAAGAGTATGTTGTGTGTTACAAGTGCCATCATTCCTCAGAAACACCACAGATGGTTGTTTCTAGGAAGATGTGTGCCTGTAAACTGATCTCAGTCATGACAGACTACATAACCTTGAAAACTTACATTTCTTTCTTGTAGTAGTGTGTATGACTTCTTTTGTAGTTCATATAAGGCTTGAAGCCAGACTGATTCAGAGTTCTAATTCATAGCTCAGATTATTATATTATTTAGACTTCCCTCTTTCGTTAAAAATAACCACTTACTCTAATGAACATCTCTTCGATCCTGTATAGCACAGAGCGTGCTTCGGTTTTTATGCATATGCTAAGGTACAGTATTTGAACTGAGCATGCCATAAATGTCATCATTAGCAAAGTACGCACATACTCTATGCAAGCAGGCAGAATTTTCATGCGCCTTATTTTTTATTTACTAATCTATGTATTTTTTGCCACAAGGTGGCAACACTGTTGTTTCACAGTCGAAAAAGAAACGGAAGAGACGCGACAACAACAATTGACAACCACGTTGCCAAGCACTTGGTTACAAGATACTGGTTTAAACCAGCACAATTCATAATTCAGCACATTTCATCGGCCATAACTTATAAAATAGCATAGATACTGGATTACATTTTCTAGTGTGCATGTGCTAATCATATGGAGTATATGCTGAAAAAATATAGCCCAAAGTTTACATCGTTTTTTACATATATGCGTCGGTATGCGTACAGTATACAGATGACAATAGCCGCTTGTCCACTGTCGGGCCAGTGCGAGCCAGTGCTTTAAACGGGCCAGGCGGGACTAATACCCTTGGACCTGTAGCACCGAGGCCAAAATCACGCTGCGTTTCCACCGTCAGGCCAGAAGCTCCGCTGCGCTTCACTAAAACATGTCTTTACATGCCTCTCAGGAACAACGTCACGCAACCCCATCATTCCACCAACAAAGAAAAGTTAGCAGAAAACTAATAAGAAATAAGTCACTGGAACTAGCGCGATCACAAAACAAACATGATAAAAGCGGCCGTTTGTTTGCATGCTTTGTTAAAGATTTTAATCCAAAAGCATTGATGTTTTACAATAAAAAGTGATACATTGATCATAATGAATTAATTTATCAGGATTGAAAATTAGTCACACTCTCCAGAAGCGGAGAAACTCCGCCATTGTTCATAGCCACTCCTCTAGCCCCAGCTGGCCCGCTTTGGCCCAAGGTTTTCGTCGGGCCAAAAGACCCGGGCCGTTGGCCCCGAGGAAGCACCGGCGAGGCACGATCAAGCTCCGAAAGTGACAGTGGAAATGCAACTGACCCTGGCACGCACTAGCACGCCCGCTTTTGGCCTGACAGTGGAAACGCGGCTAATGTGCATTATGTCACATAAGCACGCACAGTCTGAATTTTCGAATTACATGTATTCTGTATGTGTAGGCTGGACATGTGCATTGATTTTTTTGCACAAATTAGTTTGTCCACAAGGTGGCAACACTGGCCCAGGCTGTTGTTTCACAGTCTGAAAAAAAATGGAAGAGATGGAGCAACGCTAACAACAAAATACTGGAGATGGCAACAAGATGCACACGTTGATAAGCACTTTTGTGAAAGGGGTTACCAGATCGTTGCAACTCTAATAAAAATAAATAAATACAAAGGAATTTTACTGGTCATAACTGGACAAACATGAAAATTTCTAGAATGCATATGTCACGCCCCAAAATATACTTCGAGTTTTACATGTGCACGCTCGCAGTGAACTTGAATATTTTTTTTTTGCGCTAATTGGTTTGTCCACAAGATGGCAACACTAGACCCATGGAAGCCCATTTCCAACACTGAATAAAAAAAAACGTTTTATCTCACAATTACGATTTTTTTCTCACAATTGCGAGTTTACATCTTGTAATTATGACTTTTTTTCTCAGGCTCGAATGATATAAACTTACAATTGTGAAAAAAAGTCAATTGTGAGATATAAACTCACAATTGCAAGAAAAAAGTCATAATTGAGAGATGTAAACACAATTGCGAGAAAAAGTTAGTTTTGTAAGTTTATATTACACAATTCTGACTTTATTTTTTCACAATTGCATGTTCATTTGTAACTCGCAATTGCGCTTTTAGATCTCACAGTTCTGAGAAAAAATGCCAAATTGTGAGATGTAAACTCACAATTGTGAGAAAAATGTCAGAATTGTGGGACAAAAAAACAGTTACTTTTTTCCTTTTTTATTCAGTGGTGGAAACAGGCTGTTGCTTCAGAGTAGAAAAACAGAATAACAACAGAGACAACAACAGATGCCCTTGCTAATAATAAACTCACAATTGCAAGAAATAAAGTCGGAACTGCAAGATATAATTCTGACTTTTTTCTCACAATTCTGACGTAATTTCTCAGAATTGAGAGATATAGTCTCACAATTGCGAGTTATTGCCAGTTAAGTCCAATTCTGAGGAAAAAATACAAATTTGACTATAACTCGCAATTTGTAAGAAAAAAAGTCAGAATTGCGAGATGTAAAATCGCAATTACCTTTTTATTTTTTATTTAGTGGCGGAAACTTGCTTCCATATATATCGGACTTGGCCTTGCTGTTTTCATGATGAATTGCAAATTAGTATTATGTTTACATAAATAGACAGCACATAGATAGTTTACATAAGAATTAAGTATCTACAAAACGTTTGAATGGACATTTATGTTGAATTGCTTGCAGAAAATTGTGAAGAAATGCAACAAAATATGTATATACAATGCTGCCTTGCATACACCGTAGCGAAGATATACTGTAATCATCTACAACATCTTACGTTTACACATTGCATTTGTACAAGTGTTATGTATTAGTATGACTTACCCTCCCTCACAAATCTGAACCCGTGAGCTGTATTTGGAGGTAGATAGTTGATCCTCCTTCTCCTCCGATGTTTTCTCTTCTACCTCTGTCAACTCAGCTTGCTGGGTTTCTTTCGGTTCTGTGGGCTGGGTGGCATGTACCTACACTCGAGAGAGACACGGGCAAGTTCACCAACCCTATTCCGGGTGCCCAGGGAGACAGAGATGGGGGGGGGGTCTCATTCAACATTTTCCAGACAGCATTAGATCTGACTTACTTTTACGTTGTCAAGAGTAAGTTTAAAAAAAATAAATAGAAAAGAAAAGAATAAAAGACTGGAATGTGGACTGTAAAGCTAATTGTGATATTTTTAAGTCAATTTTAACCTTTTATGTTACTAAAATAATAATAAACTCACAATTGCAAGAAATAAAGTCGGAACTGCAAGATATAATTCTGACTTTTTTCTCACAATTCTGACGTAATTTCTCAGAATTGAGAGATATAGTCTCACAATTGCGAGTTATTGCCAGTTAAGTCCAATTCTGAGGAAAAAATAAAAATTTGACTATAACTCGCAATTTGTAAGAAAAAAAGTCAGAATTGCGAGATGTAAAATCGCAATTACCTTTTTATTTTTTATTTAGTGGCGGAAACTTGCTTCCATATATATCGGACTTGGCCTTGCTGTTTTCATGATGAATTGCAAATTAGTATTATGTTTACATAAATAGACAGCACAAAGATAGTTTACATAAGAATTAAGTATCTACAAAACGTTTGAATGGACATTTATGTTGAATTGCTTGCAGAAAATTGTGAAGAAATGCAACAAAATATGTATATACAATGCTGCCTTGCATACACCGTAGCGAAGATATACTGCAATCATCTACAACATCTTACGTTTACACATTGCATTTGTACAAGTGTTATGTATTAGTATGACTTACCCTCCCTCACAAATCTGAACCCGTGAGCTGTATTTGGAGGTAGATAGTCGATCCTCCTTCTCCTCCGATGTTTTCTCTTCTACCTCTGTCAACTCAGCTTGCTGGGTTTCTTTCGGTTCTGTGGGCTGGGTGGCATGTACCTACACTCGAGAGAGACACGGGCAAGTTCACCAACCCTATTCCGGGTGCCCAGGGAGACAGAGATGGGGGGGGGGGCTCATTCAACATTTTCCAGACAGCATTAGATCTGACTTACTTTTACGTTGTCAAGAGTAAGTTTAAAAAAAAATAAATAGAAAAGAATAAAAGACTGGAATGTGGACTGTAAAGCTAATTGTGATATTTTTAAGTCAATTTTAACCTTTTATGTTACTAAAACACTCATATACATTTTAAAACACTGAGCTAAACAAACATAAGCCCCCAAGTTAATAAAATCAATGTCAGCTACCATATTAGTCATTCTCCTTCAAGTTTTAAATGGTCAAGTTGTTTTGAGAAAATGGTGGCTGGTTAAACAACTAATGACCAGCTTGGAGTGTAAGAATTGTCATGCATTAACTATAAATTCAAGAGTTGTTACATTTACCTCAGTCACGTTAGGCTTTTGGGAGTCAGGTGTTTCTTGTTTCCTGTCCAGCGAGGGTGATAGGGCCGCCGTGGTGTAGATGAGTCCTGCATGTCTCTGCCTGCAGTGCAACAGGGCTAGCATGTCCTTGCTTGTCAGGCCAGGAGGGTATGGGTTGCGGGTACTTGTACACCATGAAGAATAGACTGAGTTTTGTTGTTCACTCTGTATGGATGGATTGGGCTTCAAGTAGTTTAGATAGCACCAGCTAAAATTAAGGTTAGTGTTAAGAGTTGGAAATGATGGTTCTTTGTGTTCTATAGGGAAGATGACACTTTGCTCACCAAGTATTTCTTCCTTCTTGCATTCGATCAAAACTTTATCAATTCCACTTTCATTTTCCTGATTGTCGTCCTCCTCTTTCACTCGTTTTTGTTGTTGCTCACTTTCTGGGATGAGCTCTTCACTGCTCGTGGGGGACAGCACACGTTTGGTTGCGCCAGCACTTACTGATTTGGAGCCATCAGATATTGGTTGTTGGTCTATGATTTCAAACTTCGAAGCCACTGCAACCGAACTGACTCCAGAGCAGCAAGGTTCCTGAGGCCTTTCGGTAAATGTTTGTGAAACTGTAGTGTAAATTGAGCCTGCATAATGAGGAAGGTGTGAATTAAGACGGACTGGAATTCTCTGGGCTGGTAAAGGTCTCAGTGGTTCTGGGTTTGAAGTAACATCAAAACCAAGATTCTGATGGCGATAATGAGTGAGGTATGGTTGGTTGACCCTTGTATCAGAATTCACCAGTTCATTCTCCACTGGAATTTCAAGCTTAAGTCCTGTCGACATTGAAGAATAATGAGCTCTGGCAGCACCTGATGGACAAAGAAGACTTCCCACTGTTGTGGGCTGATCATTGTGAATCATTGGGGTCAACTGCAATGCATTCTGCTGGGTATTCTCTGATAAAACATGCTGTGATTGCATGACCTGCTTATCACCAAATGAGTGTTCAGTATTGCTTAAAGTCACAAGATGGGTGGTGGTTGGACTGTAGGAGGTGCCTGGGCTATAGCTAGGCGATGTATTAGTCCTTCGAGTGGGAGATCTAGTGTTGATGGCTTTAGAAGATTGGTCTTCCTCCTCAGGTTCCCTCACTGCACTATGCCTCATTAGAAGGCATTTCCGCCTTGCTCTCCATCCTGCAGGGGTTCGATCTGGAGACAAACTACTGTAGTCAAATGACTTACTGCGAGTTTCCGTAATAAGGTTAGCATGTTGAGGAACATGGGACGCCTGCTCAGATGCAGAGCGCCTCATTTCTCGGTGAGAATTTGTGGGAATTGTCAAAGTATGAGTGGTTCTTGATCTCCTAGTTGGCGTCGTGTCTGCATCACCTTTGCAAGCCTCTTCAAATGAAGTTGATCGACTGGAGGTATGAGACACACAACTGTCCTGACTTGGACTGTGAGGCAGGGACATTGATTCAAAGCTTGAGTCCCCTGATGACTGGGCAGCTTCTGCGAGACGAAGACGTTTCTTTTTAGGTGGCAACTTCTCAATTGGAAGTTGGGCCAAAGTTGGACTTCTTTGGGGCCATTGGAACTCGCTGACTTTCTCAACGTCCTTTGTTTTGGGGACAGTTGGAGGGGGTGATGCTGCCATGGTGTTGGTGTTTGAATCTTCAGTGACCAGGATTTCTGGCACTTGGACATTGTGTTGACGTACAAGTTTACGGAAGGATGGTTTACTTGCCTGCTGCTTTGATTGTGAGTAAGGAGAACAGTGAGAGACATCATGAGAGTGAGAGACCTCATCTGGTCCAGGGGTTTTTAAAGCACTATCATGTTTCTCAAATGAACTAGTATGCTGTATGACAGATATTCCTTGCAAAGCACCTTCTGTACCATGTTCTTGAGTGGTCCCTTTAACAGGCTGTTCACAAGATGGTTTATAACCTTTCAGTGGTATATAAGAAACAGAGGGTAAAGAAGGATCTTCATGTTCAATACTCTGTTCTTTCCTTCTTTTTCTAAATGCAAAAGCACCAGGACGAGTTGTGTGTGTTCTTGTGGGTTCTTCCACTTGATAGACTTGACTTTCAGTTTGTTGAGAAATGTGAAGCGTGCAGCAGTGCTGTTTGTGTGTTTGATATCTCTCCCAGTCAGTAAAAACTATACCACATGCATCACACTCAAATGGCTCTTGTTTCAGGCTGGGATTAGGCACTGTAGAAACTGAGGGATGGAATGGTGAGCTGGAATAGCATTGTTCCCCCATGGTCATTTCAGCACCTATGGGCAATTCAATGGCAGGCTGCCGTCTTAGCATACCGTGACGCCGATTCTGAACTGGCTGCTGGTCATCAAAGGATTGGCTAAGGCGAAGGCTACGAGAAGTTTCAGACACATCACTAACACCTGCATCTGAGGGCATAGAGTGACTTCTTAGAAGAGGAGCAGTGGTGGTCGGGTCAGCTTGCTGGATACTAAGAGAATGGTGCTGAAATTTCTCACAAGGTACACCAAGAGTAATGGAACCACTGCTCTTTGCACTCAGATCTATTTCTTTTGGACTGTGAAGAAAGGACTCTTTAGAAGAGGTTGGCTTCACTTCTGTGCTGATTTTCCTAGAGAGTGAGAACCTTCTGGGTTTGACACTGTCAATCTTACTGGTGTCTACCACAGCCTCATTGATGGTAATGAGTTTAGTTATGTGGTCAATAACTTGCTTTTTAGGCACAGTGAATGGAATTCTTTTCCCTTCTTGCCCAGCAGGATTGCCATGTTGTTCATGAGCAGTCCTTTGTAAATGACCAAGGCGACCAAACTTTCCAAGTATGACCTCTGCATAGCTTTTGGCACTTGTGTTTGGTGGACTATCTTGAGAGACTTCTGTGCTCTCAGATCGAGAGAAATAGCCAGACTCTGTGCTACCTTTGTTACTTAGACCAAACGATGAGGACGCTTCATCAGACGATCCTATAGGTGTTCGTCTTCCTCTGCTAAGTCTCATTGCAAGTCTCTTTTTAACTGCATGGGAGTCTTCTATACCTTGTAACTGTCCCTCAGAGCCCTTTTCTGTGACATTTGACTTTTCAATGGACATTGTTTGTTTTTCTAAAAAGGAAGATGGTTGGCTTTCTTCATCTGATTCTGGCTCCTCTGAACAACTTATACCTGGTCCCTCCGTTTCTGCAGTCAGACCAGCTTTCACCCTATGAGTGTGGGACTTTCTGTGCTTGTAAAGGTTACTTTTAGTCTTGAAGGAGAACCCACATGGTACACAGGGGTAAGGTCTCTCTCCAGTGTGGGATCGAATATGTTTCTGAAGCACACTGGGCTTAGCACAAGCACGACCACAGTATGAGCACACATACTTTCCGGGCTTTTGAGGTTTACGCTCACGTTTCTGGCTAGGTGTACCTTCCAGGGCCTCATCCGTGGAACAGGATGGTGCAGCTCCAGATGGCATTTCACTAGGCTGCCTCATGTTAGTGTCAAGACATTTAGAACTTCTCGGTGACGTTTCGTCTTCAACAGTCTCTGTCTCCCGAGCAGTTTTCCTCTGCAATCTGAGACGTTTTCTCTCAATATTGAGATGCTGTTGTGCATGCTGTTGTGCATGCTGCTGCTGGGTGACAACCTTGTTCTGTTCATGATACTGTGGGACTGAATGTGGCTGGGGGCTGTCCGCTGGAGTCTCATTCTGCTTTTCTAAACCTCCAGATTGCTCCCCTGTGGTCAACTGGCTATGCAAGGCCTCCATAAAATGATATGAAAGCTTGAGTTACTGTTTATTCCAGACTGTATGAATGATCAATTCATTTATGACCATTCAGAGCATCGCATAATATTTTGTTCCATACAGCATATGCATGGATTGTACAGTTTTGGAGCATTCTGTAAACATTATTGCTTAATGTGAGAAGAGCTTCTTCAAAGGAATTATATGATACACTCCAATTTATTTTTATTTTTTTCAGTTTTTCAGTTAGAGGAAATTCTGCCTCTTCTGTTTCTTGTTCTTTCTTGTCCTTGGAAATCCATGGCAATTATGTTTTTCCATGAATACTCTCAAGTTGCCTTATTCTGCAGATGCTTTATGATGATCCACTTCAGAGATTTAAATTCTGGGAAATATCAGAAGACAACAATGTTACAATTGCTAATAAAATACAATGCACAACACACGCTATATTCATGTGTGTAGCAATGCTCAAAACCTTCTGGCCACATAGTGCATTCACACAAATACATATGCGAAGAGTAGAAACATGTCAACTGTCAGTCAAACAGATCCAACAATGCAGAAAGAGTTTTTTTTTTCGTATCGACTTGGTACTAAGGTACCAACACTTTTGACATTGAATTACAATGGATTGTTACTAACCTTCTTCCAGTTCAGTTGTAACAGTAGTTCACTATGACTGTTAAAATAAACTGGTTAAAAATAAATTGTCTCACTGGACTTAAAAGAACATTACGAGGTATTAGAGCTTCTATAGGTGTCTGTGTATATAAGAGAGAAAAGGGGCCCAAGTAAAGAGTGAAGACTTCAGACTCTTTGGTATTCTTAACAAAAGCACAATTTAAGACAGCACGGATGCTTGTGAAAATAAACTCTGACACTGCTTTCGCTGGAACACAATAAGGAATTAGGCATCCCACTCACTGACCAGCTGGTATTGGCACCCACGCTTTGCTTTAGGGGGCGTTTAGGTGTCGAACCACAGGAGATCCTGCTGGTACATACCAAAATCACTGCCAACTATACATTCCAGCACAATTCTTGTGTGAATCCAACTCTAAGTGTTCACAGACTTCCAATTATAGTGAAAACAGAACATACTGACGAGTGTATTATTACAGAATGCTGTTGTGTGTATACATATTATTATCCAGAGTGTAGAGAATCTGACAGGTGATTCATGGAAAATTAACCAATACAATTGAAGCTCTTTTTTAATGAAAAGGTTTGAAAAGCTCAACCCAAAAATGTTGAAACAATAAGATATGAACCTCGGTTTTAACCAAAATAAGAGAGCTGTCTGGGTTGTATTTGCATGCCATTCTTTGGCTCACTGTTTGTTGGGTTTGATGACGATATGTAGGTCGGACGGATAGTGTAGGAGGCCTAAACATGGTGGTTGTCTGGACTTGGATGTGAGTCAAGCAAGCGTTCATCTCTCTAGAACCACCTGTTCTGTCCTCCCACTCAAAAACACTGGCGACCTTGAATCACAGACTGCAGTGGCACATCATAATGACTCATTTTTGCTCGAACACAGTTCTATAACCATTCTACAATTCTGTATTCAAACTACACACTCTGCTTCTACAGAGAGGCCCGATCTGTCTTCTCTGAACTGTTTTTCCAAACATGTTCTTGATTAGGAGTCAGGATTAGAATTTAACTCGAAACACACAAGGTCTTTTGAGGTAAACTCATAAAATCTCTGCAGGTATTCAACTCAACCCATGATGATGATTACAGAGAAAACGTGCATTTAAAGGGATCGTACCGGCAACAGGGAAGAACCATAGGCACTGATTTGTGCCCACTTGATGAGAACACGAAAACAGCCCATATGTGTCAAAAAGAATCATCAAGCTGCACTTTGAATTATCACTGGGCACCTGGGAGCATTTGAAAATATTTTATAACGAGGTCAGTGACGAGTCTTACCAAACCACAGCGTAACCCTGCCAGGCTCAGATGGTTCGAATCTGGGAATAAAGCTTTGTCTACTCTGTCAAAACCACAAACACGCGAAACATAAGCTTTACACTGTACTTAACCAAATCTAAAATATGTCATTTAAATACGTTTAAGAAAGCTCGCCAATTTTCCCTCTCTCTCACTAATGGGCACCCAGTAGTGGTTCCTATGGCAACGGCCCTAAACCATGCAATGGCAGATGGAAGCAAAGCTGGAGGGCTAAATTTATCTCCCAGCATCCTCCCTGACTACAGAGTGAGTGCCTGACAAGCCAAAGTGCCCCCCCTTCTCTCCAAAAACCCTCATCTCTCCTGACAGAAGCGGATGGACAAGGAAAAACAATATCAGAATCTAGTATTTATTTTTATTGTTTCATTAAAAAAAACGAAATCAAATCTTAAAATCAAATGACATATTTTCAAATTCAGTTTTAAAAGATGAATGCAAAAAATAAATAAATTCCTCCAAAGTAGAAGACCGCAATGAGCAAAGCTCATGATAAATAAACCACTTCACACATAGATGCCACTCACAGACTTAACTATGAGATCAAGACAAATAAAAAGTGCATAAACATTCTGAGATCTCAGAGCAACAAATGCTAGTTCGTAGAACTTCACATTACATAAACATTACTCATGCAGACGGAGATAAACAACACAAAGCATCTCAGCTCTGCAGTCATTCTCTTTCTGTTGATGCACTAAAACCCTGTGTCAGGCATTCCAGATAAACAGTCTTTTGCCTTCTGTCTCTTCCGTACACAATCGCAAACCATCAACCGAATCCCAGTGACTTCATCTACACTGTTCATGTCCATCTCCCGGGATTCAAATTTCCCCTCCCTCCAGTGAAAGAGCCCTGGGCCAGCCCCGCATCCATCCGCCCCGAATTTCATTCATACGGCAGCAGCGTAGAGGAGGACACATACGCAGTACAGTCAGTCCATTCATCCTCTCTTTGCTTGCCTTCTGTACTGGCAGCCATTTGAAACACACACACACACACACACACACAGTACACTACGGGCAGCACACAGCCTCCCAGACTCAACATCAGCCGGTACACTGTACAACCAGACACATATAACTCTTACAATTCAGCATAACAGGTAACACGAACCACACAGACTAATGCTAAGAAGAGCAGCATCATGATCCCGTAAATGTAAGCCCTTCAGAAGTGGACGTGTGTGAAATCTGATAATCAAGCAGATTAGACTAGTAATCATCAATGTCTTTTACCTGGTAGCTGCAGGTCTCCTCTTCAGCCCTGCTAATGTGTGAGAGCAGTCAGGCTTTGAGTGAAGGCTGAGAGCATGTGAGTCATTGCGAGAGAGAGAGAGAGGCTGAAAGTATGAATGAGCTGCCGTAGTCTAGCTTGCTAACCATGAGGCGAAGGGGAGGTGAGATTATGCTTCGTGTAGCTACGGCGGATGGACAGCAGAGATTTTCAAAGAGTGGGAGGCACAGATGCCACTTATCAATGCCAAAATGTGTCATATTTTCAAGGAGGAGGGGGGGGGGGATCAAATTTGACCATATTCTGAACACATCAGGTGCATGCTCTTATTGAGAACTATTCATTGGTGCATTGATACATTTTCACAAATGGTCAGTTTCTGTTGACATCACATAGCTATTAGGTCATTTTTTTTAGCAAACTTGCATTAAGGTTTGATTTCATTCTAGTAATGCCCATCCAATCAATTCCCAGCAGAATACGGACAAAATGAAGTCTCTTCTACGTTATTTTCTTATTAAATATTTTGTTTTGCTCGGAAATACATTGCATCATGTGAGTAGAACGGACGGCAATTCACTGTAATGAGCTGTAATGCAATGAAAGCATCCCTGCCAGAAGAAGATCTGTGGGTCTGTCGAATACGCATTTAACATGGAATGAAAAAAAGAGAGTTCAACTAACCGCACCATCTGACTTTAGACTGCTGGATTGTTAAATGTTAAAGGCTGACGGTGTACAAAAGTACAATGATTAAAAGACATGTCTTTCCAATTAACAATCAGATATTAGTTCAAATGTTCTCACAGACTGCCAGTGAAGCATGACATCCAGTTGGGACACATAATGATGTTTTTAGAGACTGTTGTCCAGCAAACATCAAGAAATAATTTCCTAGTTAGTATGTCTATCTTGTTTATTAAATTATTTAATGTTCTATATAAGAACAAAAACTATTTTTTTCTTTTTCATTGATTTAGATAATGGTTGATCATGAATGAACAATGCTGTGTGATATTTTACACAAAATGGGTGCTTAATTGTACTGTATTTGTTAGTTTGCAACTGAATGTGCACTTGTAGTGTACTTCATAACTTAAATGTATATTACTTGCAGATAATAAATCAAAGAAATAAAAGGCCACTTAAAACGTTTTAAAAAGTGCACTTTGTAATGCTGTCAAATAATACATACTATATATTTTTTTTTAAGTATGCTATTCTTTTCCACAATTATCATAGATTAATTTTAGTCACTGCTGCATTTTTTATGAAATTGTAAGAGAAGCTGCGTTACCCACGCAGTCTTCGCCACCACCTCTGACTGAATTAAAGGTAATGTGGTCTAATGCAAATCTGGTGTCTGTTGACACATCATTTAGAAGCATTTAGTAGGATTCCCTCATTCACTCCAGACAGAACTGGACATTTCTAGCTATTTTGAAAAGCTGCTGTTTTCTTTTTTTCCAATGTGGAGAGAGTGAGGGAAAATACTTCAAGTACACTTTCCCATTCAGCTTTCTGCTGCACCCATCAGTCCTGAATCTGCACAAGATGGAAAGAATCAGGCCGCAGGTGGTAAAAAGGGGGTCCAGTTAGAGAGTGGCTCTGGAGAACTTCCACATGATACTGCCCAAACTCGCTGAAAAACCTCCGCTCCAGCTGAAATAAGACCAGGAACTCTGACATCACCACAGTTTTCTGTTTCTTTCCATTCATATAGTTTGAAGGAAGCTGAAGCACAAAGTGCAGTACTGAAGGAAGCAGGCTGGTGGGTGAGAGAAAGTGCAAACTGGAAACACGTCCATGCTGAGAAGACCCGTTTAGACCAGAATGGGTTTCAAAGGTGGTTTAGGGTGTTTTGGTAATTGTCTAGCTGTCTTCTAAATTATTTTTGTGTCTTTGAATGCATGCACTTTTGAATGATGTTGATTTGAATTGTCAGGTTTGAGTCAAGGTAACCGCTGCAATTTTTCATACTGAGAATTTGTTTCAATGAATTGGA